ATTTATTTATTTTTATTTATTTTTTAATTTTTTTTCAATATTTGTGGGTCACTAATTGTGACATTTTTACTTGTTTCATGGCTGGTAACTTTTCAGTTTTTGCTAATTACATCAAGGAAGCTCCCTGTATTTTAGACTAAAGCTTATATATAACACACATTCCTATTGTGGTTTATGTTTTTTTCTCACATTTCAGTCAATTTATAAACTTTTCACATATTTTCAGGATCTCTTCGCGTTGGATGTGGAGCCCTACCGCTACAGTGGGGTCAACATGACAGGATTCCGTATCCTAAACACAGAGAACAGCCAGGTGTCCTCCATCATTGAAAAGTGGTCCATGGAGCGTCTGCAGGCACCTCCTAAACCAGACTCTGGCCTGCTGGATGGTTTCATGACAGTAAGACGCTTTTACACATGCCATCATGTGGCAACCATACACTGTTTTAAAACTGGGTAACACTTTATTTTGATAGTCCTCTGTAGACATTCTCCTAACTATAAGTAACATGTCAACTACAGTACCAGTCATTAGATTATTAGTAGACTGTCTGCTTAATATCTGCTAACACTTTATTTTGATGGTCCCCCAACAGTCATTCTACTGACTATAAGTGACTTTGCAAGTATATGTCAAATTATTCTGTTAACCCTAACCCTGACCTACCAGTCTATACCTAACTCTAAACCTAACCTAACAGTTTGCTAATACTCTAACCAGAGTGTAGTTGCAAAATAATGAGGGTAAGTTGACATGTTGTTGCAAAGTATAGTCAGTATATCTAAAGTGGACTATCGAAAATCAAGTTGCTTCTCATACAAAGTAACAAAAAGGAACTAAAAAGTAACATTATTTTAATACATATATAATAATTTAACATAGCATATGGTCAGCACACACTATATGTATCCTTGTTGCTACTGAACTTGTATTTAATTTTGTTTGTGTTGTTAAAGAAGTTTTAGTTCATGGTTTTCAAGGATGAGGTCATGTCCCGCAGCCTATGTCTATGTCGATGTCTATGTTGGTATCTGTTTGACTTGGCTTTACCATGTGAAAGATGAATTTGTGATTGGACAACAGCATTAGTGTAGTAAAGGTTCAAGAGTGTGGAAGGAAGAAGGCAGGGTCGGCTTGCTGGGATGCGAGCTTTATTTAAATTTCTCTTGCACCGCACAATACGGCGCTCATTCAGCACTGTCAGACTCGCAGTCAATAACTCATAACAAACATAACACAACTTGCTTCCGTGTATCTACACCCGTCTCCCCGGGTGGCTCGCGTTCCCAGTCCGTCTCTCCCATCATGTTCCAGGTGGCCCCTTTTATCCGGTCTCTCCACACCAATTACTGAAACAAGACACAGGTGTTTATCATTTGCGCTTGACCTACTTACGCACCACTCGTCTCCTGCCTCTCTCTCCCGATGCAGACCTGGCCCGGGGGGGAAGACTTCCTCGGGACCTGGGGAAAGGGACAGGTTTAGAGGGAGGGGACACAGGGGAAGGGAGAGAGAGAGAGACAGATGGCAGGGGTTCGCCGACCCCGGGGCACGCCACCATCTGGTCCTCCGCCAGTTGGATGGCCTGGTTCAGCGACGTCGGGCGGTGGCACTGGACCCACTGGGCAGTCTTCCTTGGCAGCCGTGCCACGAACTGCTCCAGTACCACTCGATCGATGATTTCCTCGACGTCGCTCGTGTCGGATTAGACACAATTAGACTTCAGCAATCAAAGCCACTGCTAACTATGCATGATTAGTTGGATTTTAGTATTTAGCTTTTTTTTTTTTTCAGTGACTCTATCAGAACAGAGCTCAGACAGATTTTTGTGGTAATTATTTTAAGACTTTTGCCCATTATTTACAATTGGTAAGTCATCAAACAGCATGATCTGAAAATACAGTCAAGGTGATAATAGTAGAGTTTGTTTTCAATTCATGCTGGTATGCGCTGAAATAAGTTGTTTGCTCTGTCTGTGTATAGCACTATTCCCCAGAGAACTTGTACCCACAACCTGCAGGGTACGCTGCGATCTGAAGCATGTGACAAACAGGGACTCTGGTGTAGTGATCTAAAAACTGTCTAATATCAGCATACTGGCAGTATCTCCGTTCTTCCTCAACAGTGGCTCTCCTATCCGGGAAAAGGGCCAAGATATGAACTCACTAGAGGCCGGGTGAGACGGAAACAGAGGAAAGATGAGAACTCACATGCCAAAAAGATCCAGCCTGCCAAAATAACTCTCATGGGACACAACACAATGACACTTCATTGGACTCGTTCCTTTACGTCCTGTTTAGAGAGAAATTTACCCAACTATGATAAGTGAAGTCATGATTTACTCATACTCATGTCATTCCAACCTGTCTGACTGTCTTTGGTCTGTGGAACACAATAGGGGATATTTAGCAGAATGCAGGGGGACCGTGGGTGCTTAAAGTCATGCCTTATAATCACTTTTCAAAATTTAAGGTAATTAAAAAGGCTCTTAAATACTTTAAATAAGAACATTGGTTGGGCTCATCATGGAGTGGTTTTGGAACAAGAGGAAACACAATGGTCTGACTTTTCAAAACACCTGGTCCTTGCTCCTTGCAAAATTACACAAGTCTGCTGCCTGCTTGACTTCCCAGTCATCTGGCTGTTTCCAATAATATGTCGGTTTGTTCTGGTATGGTTATACAGTAATAATTTTATTTGTTCCGGTCTTTAAAAGGTCTTAAAGGGATAGTTAATTGTAAGGTCTGTTTTGGGTTATGTTTCTTGTTTTCATGTCTTTTATTTTGTAATTTCATTCATGATGTTAGTCTCATGCTTCCCTTGCCCTCATGCATTTCTGCCCTGTGTATGTGTCATGTTGTGATTGGTTGTTCAAATCATGTGTCTTGTTCCTCATTGGTTTCTGTTCACGGTCAAGTCTGTTCATGCCAAGTCAAGTCAAGTCTTTGTTCATTGTTTGGATTTTAGATTTCACATTGTAAATAAACTGCAGTTGGGTTCATCATCACAACTCGACTTCAGTGGACAGATAATTACAGAATACACGACCAACAATGAACCCATGTGCAGTTTATTTACAATGTGAAATCCAAATAATAAACAAAGACTTGACTTGACTTGAAACAAACTTGACTTGACATGGCATGGCATGAACAGACTTGACCGTGAACAGAAACACAACTCACCAACAGCAGGTTACAACATCAATACACGACGAGAGGCAATGGCAACAAGAGGGCTACTTATAGCAAACACTAAGGGTCACATGACAAGAATCAACCAATGAGCAAACAGAACTGAGAACCACATGACAGGACAATAACCAATGAGGAACAAGACACATGACTTGAACAACCAATCACAACATGACACATACACAGGGCAGAAATACATGAGGGCAAGGGAAGCATGACACTAACATCATGAATAAAATTACAAAATAAAAGACATGAAAACAAGAACATGAAACAAAACCCAAAACTACGGAGCCCGGGAAGTCACCTGTCATTCACTCCCCCCACCTACAATCCCTGCCGGTACGAGACTCGAACCCGCAACCTTTGGGTTATGAGTCCGACTCTCTAACCATTAGGCCACGACTTCCCCCCTTCTGAGGTAGCCTCAGAAGGGGGGAAAACCTGACTAAGATGCATGAGATTTAGCAGATTTGATGTGACATCGTTGACTTAAATTTGTTCTTCACACAAATCCATTGTATGGCCATAGAAGAACGATTTGGAATACAGTTCACAAGTTGTGTGGATCACTATTTTAACTTTTATATTGCATTTTTGGAGCTTGACAGTGTGGATTTTCAAAAATAATACAGCTTTGGAACAGTATGAGGGTGAGTAATCCTTGAATAATTTGAAGAAAGATTCCAGTAGATAGTGAACTATATAGAACCACACACACACATATAGACAGCTGAAGGGAGGCCAGCTGGAAGGTAAATGTCCCCTTTCTAACAGAGTCGATTAAAAGACTCAAAGCCTTTAATTAGCTGACTCAGCCTGTCTTACAGTACAGCTCACAGTAACTCATCAGTCAATCTTCACTCATCAGCTCAGAAAAAGGACAAACTCTCACCATTCAAGGCTGTCAATCCACATGTCAATCCCTTTTAGTTGTAACATGATTATTTAGAAACCATAATGGTCCAGGTTTCCCTGAGAGCTGCATTTGAAGGCGTTAATTAATCAGCCAAATGGCAATCACTCAGAGGCTAATGCATATTGACACTGTGAAAAGTTTCCGTAAATGTTTAATTAGCAGTTTCACTGGTTCGCTATATTTATGGTTCTGTCAAAGCTTTATATTGAACCACTGTAACATATTGAGCTGAGATTGAACTACTTTGAGAAAAATCCAAATGGTTTCTTTTTACACTTTAATTTTAGCTTTAGCAAATTTTAAAATATGTTATCTTTAGATAATGCATCCACAGTCAGTTAACTGTTGCATATTGATGATGTGTATTGCATACAATACTAGCAAGCACTTGAGAAAATTGCAAGCTCCACTGCAACACAACTTCCAAGATTCAAGATGTCAGGTTGATATTAAGAGTGCTTGTGAAGAAGAACAAGAAGTTTCTGTATTTTAAAACTTAGTTTCGTTAAATAAAACAGATATGTTTTGTTTGAGGTATTTAGTAGCATGTAAACAAACTATTAATTGAAGAAAAGAAGTTTACAAAGTTTCCATTAAAATATTGTCTGTTTTCTGTACAACAGTTTTTGGAGACTGCTGCACCATAATCTGAGCACTTTTTTTTCCCAAGAGGAATTTTTGTTGTTGTTGTTGTTTCACATATGAATCTATTATTGCGTTATTGTGGATTTCATGTTGCTGGTAATTTTTAGTCAGACTTTGTGCAAAAAATTAAGTGCCTGGCTGACCTGAACATTCGGTAAAAGGCTGCCCTGAGTCATGGTTTAACATGGATAATGAAAATGACCTAACAAGGTCCTCAGACTTATTAGCATAATTTCCTTTGGTGCTAATTGCTTTAACTTCTGTCTGATTTACTTGGAGGGAGCTCATCTACAGGACAACTCATCATTGAGCAGAAAAAAACGCCCATTTATGGCTGCCGCGCCAGTGTCCTTGGGGGTTTATTTAAGGAGACAGAGCAGAAAAAGTGTCCAGATAAAAGGGTCTTTACTGGGACACCAACAGGGATGGGTTACCAGTAAAATGGCACTTTTTTATTGTATATTATAATGAGACAATCTGTAACAGAGACGCTGGAGTTTGGTTAGAATCCATGAGCGGAAGTTTATTAAAGGTCATTATTTAAGGAGACAGAGCAGAAAAAGTGTCCAGATAAAAGGGTCTTTACTGGGACACCAACAGGGATGGGAACGGCACTTTAGAAATGTTACCAGTAAAATGGC